ATATACACGCATGCACACGAACATGTAAATAATCGTTCATTTTTGCCGCCAAATCAATTCAACCAGGATAGTTCAGGAAACAAAACAAAAGACAAAAATCCTTTTTCTTTGATATGAAATTTGAACATTATGAGATTGTTATCCTCACTATTTCCACATGCCACTATCGACATAAAATGTTAGGACACCACAACAAGATACAAATTTTTCATATAAATATTTTGCAAAACCGGCAAAAACTTTTGCAATTCGAACAACCTATTGGTATGATGAAAGATATTTTGTTCATTCTTGATTTGTTTTCTTTCCACACCAAATCATATCGTCTTTCACATTGTCGATCCTTGTATTTTTGTCGTTTTCTTTTCTCTTCATTTCACGACAATCTTTCACACACACCACACAAACATACAATCATTTCATTGCCATCCACATATGTCAAACCTGCATGGCACAGGTACACACGCACAGGTATATACACCGGCACACACAGGGTTTTTCTTTTTTCCTATTTTCTTTCTCCCCTCACATACAATGACATGAACACACTCTAAATTAATTTAAATCAAATTTTATTTCAATTTTATTTTTGTTACTTTTTTTATTATTATTTTATATGTGTGTTTTTTTTTTACTTTCATCTTCAATCGAATCCATTATTTTTATTGAGTTGTAATTTGATCGAAGTTCTTGGTTTGGCCATTGCCGACCTATTTTTTAAAGAAAGAAAAATAAAATTTATTTTTAATTTAAAAAAAAAAACCATCGCATGGCTTAAAATTGACAATGGAGATCAACAAATGATCAAGACGAAGAAAATCGCCAAACGAACATCCACCAGCAACTTGGAGTTCAGCTACAGGAAAATTCCAATGACATACGTGAAAAAGGACCAGAGGAAAATAATGTTGGCGGCATGGAACCAAGAATATCTGAACGACAAATTCGGCCGGACCGTCAAGTCATTGTTCCAGACAGTTGACCAGGTGAGAAAATTTAGTCCATATATAAGCTTTTGGCTTACGCAGGGGCTCACTGGTCACGGGCAGTTCGGCCAATATCTGAAGGAATTTGGTTTTGCCTCAGATGCAAGCTGTCAATGCGGTCATCAAGAGCAGAGTGTCCGTCATCTACGTTTTGAGTGCCCATTAGCGGCCTTTTTACGACGTGACTATGCTACCGCAAAAAGCATGTGTATGTCCCCCGAAGAGCACACACGAATGGAGGCGGTTCTCTATGAACAGCTGGCAATGTTGGCCAACCAGCTGAGAGGTGGTATTCATAGATGATGGCGGGGGTTAACCGGCAGGAATATTGATGGCACGCCGGGTACACTGATGGCTTCGCATGGGCCGTATCACCTAACCTCCGGGACCCCGTAAAACCTCACGAGCATAGCTCGTGAGGTTTTACTGATGACATTCCTAACCTAAACTACAACAATTATTGTGATTTGCGATAGTTTGGTCAGAAGATGAAATCCAATAAGTTGGCCGACGTTGTAGTCGGGTCCCGGAGAGCGGTCACTGTGGCATCAACACTGGACTTGGTTCATAGACGAAACTTTTATGGCAGCCGATGAACACACACACAACAGATACAACACGAAACAGTATTTATTATGGTTTTATTCCTGAAGTTTTTATTTTTCCATAAGCATACATAACACCTGTAGTACACAACACACACAACATAGAACACAACATTTGTATCTACACGTACCGGCTAGCTGACGAAGACACTGGTGTCTCCTGGGTGGCTCCCCTAAACAGCTGGCATCAGTAATGCATCAATCTGGTCCCGAATGCTGAACATGGATCCACCGTGCTCAACAGAGTGAACACACACACATACTTACACCAGTTTTTACATGATCAACACACATAGGACACAACAACCATCCTACACCTATACACACACACACAGGACACAGCACCTGTTGAACCATGGTTAAGCAATCCAGTGGGTGGTTCCCGTAAACAACCATTGCTTATCGGATCCATTGGATGGTCTAGTTGCTGGTGGAAACGTTGGTGGCAATCGGTGGTTTAATCGGCAGGTTGGTGGCGACAGTTGAATCCAACTCAACTGGTGGTCTAGGGCAGATGAGGTGATTGGCAAAAATTCTGGTTGATTGATGGCAAATTGGTGGTGAATCCAAACAACAACAGTAGCAACAACAACAACATTAGCAACAACAACAACAGTATCAACAACAACAACAACAGTATCAACAACAACAACAGTATCAACAACGGGTCAATTGGTGGTGAATCAAACACGCACGGGCATGAACGAATGGATGGATCGAATCGAATGGCAATAAATTGTGGATCAACAAGATGTAAGTTTACATTGCTTTGTAAACATATGTTGGCCAGCTGCTCAGCTGTCAACATCACACGTTGGCTGCAGTCACACAAGACATACACACAAATGATGTATACTGCAGTCAATCACACACACACAATGAACAGACTACACACACGCACATACATGTATAGGCAGTCCACCACGCGCATGTTTTTAAATTTGAATGACACTTAGTGTCAAGCGCGCGAATTCATTGGCAAGCCAAGTTAGGCCTTTAGTATTAGTGATCAGTCAAGATCAAGTCAATGCGGTAGGATTAGCTGGCAAGCAACAGATTTGGCTATTTAAGCTGAGAGCAAATCAAGCATAGTTGCCCAGTTTTATTTGCCTAATGTGCGTGATAGGCTGTTTTAAAATTTTTTCTTGTTCAAGTGATTCACACCAACACACAACATTCACACAAACATTTACACACACACATACACACCGGTTCAGTGCTTACCGATCACCAGTCCGGGTCTCCCGTTGACTGGCCGGCAGCACTCCCTGCAGCCACACATACATTGCTGTACAGACACCACATCACATAGGACACAGAAGCTGAATATTGGGACGCGGCGTAACGTAGGATTTACCTGCTTACGAGGATGCTAAAAATAGCCAGGAGTTGAAGTCGTGCGCATCGCTTCGCTTACTGTCTGCTCCGTCCGTCTGAACAATAGGATGCTTAGATGCATGCAAGCACATTCACACAGATATCCACATAGGACACGCTGCAGATACACACACACAATTATATTACAGACATACACCCCAACATGCATCCACAGGACACATATTTATTCATTCATATTTATTCATTTATTTATTTATTTATTTATTTTTATATTCTATGCATGTTGGGTTTGTTTATTTATTTATTTATTTTTTTATTATTTTATTCTCATTGCCATCGACACACTTCATTGTATTGAGATCCATTCATCGTTTTGATTGGTGGCCATTGCCGCCTATTTTAAAGCAGCCAATAAATTAATTTTAATAATTAAAACCTACCCTAAGTGGCCATTTGCCGCAATTGCTAATAAAATCGGAATTTAATCCATCAAAAAAAAAAAAAACCCTAAAAAAACCTCCATTGTATTGTGATCCATTCATTGTTATTGATTGGTGGCCATTGCCGCCAGACTTAAGCAGCCAATAAATTAATTTTATTTAAAAAAAAAAAAACCTAACCTCCGGGACCATCGCAAAACCGTCACGAGCTTCGCTCGTGAGGTTTTGCTCGAAAGGCACTCCTCCAGGACATCGCAAAACCGTCACGAGCTTCGCTCGTGAGGTTTTGCTCGAAAGGCACTCCTCCAGGACATCGCAAAACCGTCACGAGCTTCGCTCGTGAGGTTTTGCTCGATTGTCCTCCCGGGAATTTGGCCACCGATAACCATTGTGTCAATATCTGATCAGTTCATTGCATTAATATCAAAAAACAACAAATAAACATTCTCAAAACAATCGATTCCGGAAATAACTGATAGTTATACCGCAAAAATATGGATATTTTAGTGAGGTTTAAATAAACCTTAAATTTAGGAAGAAAAATGGAGAGGTTTATATAAACCTCAAATTATTATTATACATTTGCAAAGTAACATATAAGTAAGGAAACACATGACCAGTAATGAGAACGATGACATATCAAAACAAAATAAAAAGGGTACACTACAAATATCAGAAATGCAGAAGAAAAACCAATCCAATCATCAACAGGTGAATATATGCTTCAATAATAGAACAAGTGAAAAATGACAACGAAGAACAGTGGAGATAAAAGCTTGCCCAAATAATTTCAAATAGGTAAAGTAGTTGACAATGTTTCTTCACATAGAAATATGGCGCACGAGATTTCAAAATTTATAAATCGTAAATAATCCATTATCATCCACAAGTCACATTTTAAAAAATCAAAGACAGATCATAATTTGATACAGATCGCGGCAAATGGCCAACCAACAAAACACAATACAAAACAATGGCATTAAGTTCATAGCAAAATAATTTGGAATCACAAAAACAATAAAGTAAACAATTTGTGTGTGATGACTATTGTGACACAAGTGTACATAGTAAAAATAGTGAAAACATATATGATAATATAAACAATATAAACAATTTACTAATCTCACATTTAGATCTATTGCAACTCTCAATCACATTTGAATCTCACTTATAATTGAAACTGAAATATCTCTCTCACTTCAAAATCGCGCAAATGAAAATGACACCTACTATGCAGTTGTCCGGGTACGTCGAGTCGATCAAGATGACAATGTTAAATGTCGAGCAGATAGCTGAGTTGAATTGACGATATAAAGATGAATTCTAGATGAACACATAACACAACACAAAACACAAATTAAATAATCACAATCTAATCAACACACAGAAAACAATTTGACACTTGTTGATACGTTGTCTGATGAATATCAAGTTGATAGCAAACCACATATGGAATTAGAGACGAGTTGAATCCAAAAAAACACTTCACTAACACCAATAAATTACTGCACAGCACTATGCACAACACGAAATTCTGTTGAAAAGAAAAAAAAATTATTTCACATCTTCAGCATTATAATTAATCACTTACCACTAATTGATAAAGATGACACCAATGAAACACTTCACAAACACCAATTAATCACAGCACTGAATCACAACACGAAATTCTGCTTGAAAGAAAAAATTAATCATCATTTATCAAGAGCAAACCAATCACTTACCATTATGAAACTTGTTGCGTCAATTCACTAAAATATGTCTGGTTATTGATTAATAAAGATGATGATATTCAGATGAACAAGATGGACACAACGATGATGATGAAACACAACACTTCACTAAGCACAGCACAACACAGAATTTTCGAATGAAATTGTTTCATAAAATTCAGTCACTTTAATATCCTGATGAACTAACACTTGACAAACACCAATTGTGGAAAAACAACAAATCTGACTATAGTAACAAATAGAGCACGGTTTGAAAGCAAAATAACAATGACAAAACTTTATTATCGTTTTTAAGACTTTATATACAAATATTATTATCAAAACACATTCATAGTCAACCAGACACAAATGCCCATGACTGGCAACAGTGGTGGTGCCACACTATAGTTTATTGCAAAAATTATTCACAGTAAAATTGTGCACGAAAGAAACATGTTCAGAATCGCAATGATTTTAACACATAAAGGACGTATGCTTAGGCATTATTATACAACATTCCAGACCAGTTCATCTTTCACGACACCAATTAATACACAGAACTTAATCACAAGACGGAATTATGTTTAACCAGAAAAAAATTATAATTCATTCATTGTATGATGATGATTTGATGATGAAATACAACAAAAATGATATGAAACATTTTTTTCACAAATCGTAATATCGACTGACGCAGCTTCGGTTAACAAGTGGCAAATATTGTTGGACAGCTTCGGTTTATATACAATAGGCTCAATCAAGAAAAAAACATTGAACGTGATCATTTGACTTGTCACAGTTGACAATGATAAATATTCACAATAGTTCATGTTCGTCATTGCAATAATTAGTCGAGGAGAAAGACAGCATGGCAAAAAACGACACTCACAAATGAGTCATAATTTACTCAAGTCAAGAGAAACAACTGAGAAGATGTTCATAACAAACGGATCCTTTTCCCACAGGATGGATGATCTGTGTTGTAATTAACCATATTATGGTCAACTTATCATGTTGATATTATGCTGATGTTATGGTGATCTTATGATGACTACATAACCATGCCTTTGTGTTATGATCATGTTCATATCATGTCATTATAACACCAAGTTCTATTAATAATTTCCATTTGTTCTGCTGCTGGTGGTGGTGATAGTTTGCGTTTGGACTAGTCACTAGTGAATGATGGAAAAAATAGCAATCGATAATCGATTTGGAAAAAGTAATCGAGAATGTGAATGCAGATACAACATACCATTTTAGAATAATAATAATAAAATAATGATGATTATTTAATTCTTAAAGACAATTTTTTTTTTATCAATTGATGATTCTTGAAATAATTCTTGATGGTAATCAATCGAATGTGTTGTGTGTTATTCGGTGGATAAAATTAAAATTCGAATGTTTGATCACCCAGTATAACTTGATCTGTTAAGGATCAGGAGATAATAATCACGTTTAAAAATGGTTTTATTTTTTAATAATCAAGAAAGAAATTTTTTAATCATAACACAAAAAAATCAATACAACAAAAAAACACGTTGTTGCTCAAAGTTCTAAATCTTATTCAGATGTAACGTTATATCCACAATATTTTTAACATGATCAAACAATCAAACTTTGAATCGACAAGTTTTTTTGTTTTTAAAAATTTTATGAGCGACGTTGTGTAATGGTTTTAGTTGGTTTTTTTCCCATCGATTGACTTCATTTTTTCTGGCTGATTTGTATTGCCATTTTGAATAATAAAATAAAGAAGAAAATCTAACAAAGAATAAAAAAATATATAAAATAAAGATACATTTCAACTAATTTAGATTGTGTCCAGTGTTTGTGTATGTGTCCAATGGAATAGAATGAATAGAATGGAGTCTGGTGTGTTGGCTGAGGCCAATATGTGTGTGTGTGTATGCGGTTGGAATGTGTGTGTGTCTGTTCGTGTTCGTTCATAAACAGAAGATTTCGTGTGTTTATGATCACAATAATAAAAATGGAATGAAATGAAAAATTGTGATCGATGATTGATTTGTTGTTGGTTGTCGATGTTTCTGACAGCATATCTAACTAGGCTGCGAAAACTGATGATCTGAAAATTTTTCAAGACTTATATACTTTTAAGAAATCGTTTCGTTATACTATTCGTAATGCTTTTTGATCATCAGAGGGGGAAAAACTACGAAAAATGAAATCTATTGGCTGTTCATAATGTTCAAAGTCAATCCATGTGTATTTGTTGTAAAGTACGATCGCTAAACGTAGTTTTTACGTTGCAATGACATTTTTGCTATTGATCTGATTGGTGGCTCGAATTTGGCGGTAAAACTATTTGCCGATTGTACATACGTGTGTTTTGTTGACAGTGAAAAATACATCTATTTGTGTTGTGTATTTGTTATGGTCGATTTGTGTTCATCATTTTGACTTACTATTTGTACATGAATGAGTCGATGTCAAGTTGTTGTTTTTGACCAAGTTTGTTTTCTGCTCATTTTTGGTGTGTTGTTGTTTGTTGATAGTCGGATTTGATTCCAATCAATTATTCATTCAATTGTATTGATCGTAAAAAAAATGATTCCAAGAAGACGCAAACACGGCGATTGATTTGCTGGTGGTGCGTATCGTACATGATGATTGTTGCTTTTAACTTGTCGATTTTATTTTTTATCCTGCCAGGTCCGGAATATCGATTTTTATCAATCGTTGCTCTGATGATGATCGTCCAGTTGGAAATTCCCATGGCCAAAATTTATCTGTGATATGTTGAATCGTGTTGTTGTTGATGATGATTTTTACTTCTTGTTTTTATGTTCTAGTCTGGTTTGGAATATCAATCATGTACACTTGTGTAACAATAGTCATCACACACCAATTGTTTACTTTTTTGTTTGTTTTTGTGATTCCAAATTATTTTGCTATGAACTTCTTGATGCTTTTTATTGTGTTTTGTTGGTTGGCCATTTGCAGCGATATTCGAGCAAAACCTCACGAGCGAGGTAGGTTAGGTTTTTTTTTTAAAGAAAATTCAACTCAAGCAAGTGCAGAACAATCTACGCGATTTAATCGAGGAAAGATTGAGAGAAAACCTCGAACCTATGGCTCGCTAAATTAGATACTGACACCTGCAATCTTGGACATCAGCCGATCACGTGCTGCATTTAATAGGTCCAAAGATTCTTCATTGGAAAAATAATTAATTTTATAAAGTTGCAAAAATAAAGAAAAATTTGTATTGATACGAAATTTTACGATACAGAAAAGAAACAAACAATACACAGACATAAACTTCAGCCGAAAAAAAATCAATAAACAAAGGTTTATTATCAAAAATGATTTTCACCACAGAAAAAATAATAATGAATAATGAAAAATTAACACGTGTCTTTAAATGAGATGAAAAATACAAACAAAATTTAGAAAAGACAAAAGTTTAAATGACACAGAGCCAATGACTAAAATAGAACATGCGCATCGTAGTTCAACAAAAATTCGATGAAACAAAAGAAATAAACCATACAATATTAAATGGTGTAATCGAACTATTATAACGTTTTTGAATGCACTCAGCGAGTGCAATTGATGTTTCCAATGACTGTATTGATTTCGTTCTGTCCTGTTGTTGAAAAAGAAAACATCAGCTGTATAATGAACTATGATTGTAAACTAGAGGTCTCTAGAAACTTCTAGTATATTTTTAAATCTATATAAATGAAAATTTTTCCTTTACTAATTGTATCAAAATTTGTCACATCAATAAATGCAATTTTTATTAAAAACACATTTTTCTTATCACCTGTAAGCTAAAAAAATTTTCTGCTAATATTAGCACTTCAGGGTTATCTTGACAACCAAGTTTTTCGAATCTTTTGACAACATCTGTTATAAACAAAAACTTGTCATACATTGGTACAAGATATAAACCACAAAACTGTCCAACTTTAGGTTTGATTAATTTAGCAATAAACCCATGACTACAACCAATATCATAGTCAAAACTCGACACATCAATCGAATACTTCGATATAATAAGTGAGTCATCACCCATAAACATAGAACACTCGGGTTTTGTCTTGAGTACTAAATCTGCAAGAGCAGTCATATTAAATATTGTGTTCGAAAATGCGGTGGCAGGATCGCCAGATTTTGTTTGAAAACCAACATACCACGAAGCGCCTTGATGGCAACGACTAAGTGTATAATAATTATGAGTAAATTCCCAAAAATTGATAAGTTCATCACTAAATCCGACCCGCTTCATCAGATATAGGAAAGTGATAGGTGCGGTGACGAGATTGACTTGTCAAAAGCACTGAAATCGCACTCATAATAATTATACTCACACTGTGGCTGTACATAAAAATTAACCCAATATATTGATGTAATCATCGTTAAAACCAATTGCAAGTAAAACATTTGGTCGCAACATAGCACGAATTCGATCAATTGCGTCTCTCATAACAAGTGAATAATACAAACACACTGACTCTGGCATCGCATTAATAACCTGGCCCTTCGGCACTTTGGTACCAATTGTAGATTCGCCAGTAGCCTTATTCACACCTTTCAAGGTGGCCGTGTAATAAAACTCACGCATATTACAGATCAATAGGTCGGCATTCATGTACTTTGTCCGTTTGTCGTTCGGAATCTTTGATATCCACTCGTTGAGGTATTGTTGCGTGAACTCGACTGGACAATCTTCGTAACACGACAATATGTCGTCGTATTTATCTACGCAATATGCCTTCATAAATTTATCAAAATTTACGGTTGCATAAACTTCTTTACAAACGTTCGATTGGAGTTTCGGAACGTTCCAGTTTCGTTCATTCACACATAAAAGTGTTTGCGACAATGTCTGTTGATGATTAGGATACGAATTGGTATGTAACACAGATGGGTTTCTCTTATATGCACACAGAGCCAAAGTTTGGGGGGTAATACGTTAGGAGGCAGAGCAATGTAGGCAAACTTTAGGGTTAAACGAAATTGCCTACTAAAATACTTAAACATTTTCTTGATCAGCCATTTTTTTCCTGTGAAAAGTCATCATTTGAATAATATAAAACACAAAAAAAGAAAACAAAAAAACAAATTAGAAACGACGGAATTAAAAAAGAAAAGATAGAAGAAAAAAGGTCATCAAGTGTCATAACTTACAATTATAATCAATTTAAAAAAAAAATTTTCAAAAAAAAAAATTTGAAAAACCACCCCTATATAATGGCGAAAAATAATGAAAAATTCTCTAAAACAAGCCCGTTTTACATACGACATGATTTCAAAAAGAATAAAGTTTTCTATCTTATCCTAATCTTTTTTCAAAAAATTTGAATACAGACGCATTTAATTTAAGTAAATAGATTCCAAATTGCAATTTGATGCAATCTATTCTGACCTTGAGTAATACAGAAAAGGAATAATTCTGGTTGTTAACCTTAATAACGAGTTGTTTACAATTTTAAAATTTTTTTCAAGACCAAAACTTCATTCAAGACCAAAACAAAATTTTGTAAGTTCTTCACTAATAACACGTTCAGCACATATAGCTATTCGCCAGTGGCCATTAACCGACCATAAACTAGGCCAAGTATTCGGTAAAACAAGAATAGTTCAAGAACCGAAATGCATTACAAAAATATTTGCGAATCAATCACAATATTTTCAGTAAGATCCATACCACAATAAACTGGTGAAATTGTTTCATCAGTGATTGATTTTTGGCTGATCGTCGTACTACTTAATTATTGAGCTGGTTGCAACTTTGTTAGTTGATATGACAAATTTGAAACAAATTTTTTCATTCTCAGCTTTAGGCATCCAGATTGATTACCGTTGTTCAGGAACGATGCTTTTGGGGAAGTAACCGGATCGCGGCAAGCACCAAGTTGTAATCCTTTGAATAGCTTGCTTGTTCAAATTACATTGCTGTTGTTGGATGCAAGTTATCAATGTTTTACGCTCTAGTTGTCGTTTTTCCGAATCCAATTTCGACTACTTGGGGTATATGACAAATACGGCTGTTTGCTATTGCATCATGACACTTATTGCATTCCACCCTTTATTAGATCGCCAGAAGTCGTTGTGCCGTGGCATTTCCGGCACAGCGATGCAACGATCTTTTAGTTTAGCACCAATAATCGTTTAGCATTGCTGACAGCAGGACATTGACTGTGACTGTTGTTAATTGACCACGAAATTATGCACTGTAGATTCGTTCATTTGTGTCTTTAGTCACCATCCTTGATGTTACAATGTTTAATAAATCTCTGCTGCACGTCTATTTGATTATTAACATATCGACTCATTGCCATGTTATTCGATAGACACCTGTGTTGGATATTTGAACGATAATCATCAGTCGTCTTGAGTGGTAATGTGTCCAATGATGTTTGCCAATAAGCAACTTGTCGATTGTATGCTTTATCAGCGACAAGACACTTTGAATGACGTTGTTGACAAACAGAATATCGACATTTCGTATTCTCGTCCTGAAATCGATATTGTACCTGGAGAATTCAATTTGGTATTGAACAGCTGGTAGCCTTCGTTGAAATTGAAATGCCACAGTCAGCCATCGACTGTTTGAATTCACTGAAACGCCCATCATGATCTGTAATTAGCGGTGTAATAATGGACACGATTGTATAAGCCCTGACCCAATGTTGTCCGTCAACGGGTTAACCACAGAGATTATTGTTTCCAATTCATTGAAAATTCTCGATTAGACTGTTCACCACGGATTCTATTCGTGCTCCAACATTGGAAGGAAATTCAGAACCGCTGTCGAAGATAACTTGATCGGCTTTGATACCCGCCTGATTCCAGTGGTGAATGGTTGCAACACTGGATGCACTTGAGTGGGATGCAGATGGTTTCATCGAATTTTTGTACCTCTTCGGTACTTATTTTGATATCGTTGAAAGATTCACTACATTTTGGATGATTTTCAGTCACTCGATGCTTTTACCGCAGCTTGATACTGTTTGGAGCACTTGATATGCTTGTTCTTGCGATTACATATTTTGCCACAAAATATGACTGATGATGTGGATTCCACAATTTGTTGCCTGTCATTTTGAGATGATGCGTAATAATGTGTGCAAGCGAAAGGCCTTTCCGGCACAGCGGGAGCAACGCTTCTTGTGATTGCACTGTCATCATGGTCATACGAATATGGGACAATCATGGCGTTGATGGAACTGACCACAGAAAATGCGACTTGTTTTGATGTATTGTAGTCGGATGAATGACCGTTACCACTGATGTTGACTGCGCAATCGGAATGAACACTTTTAGATCACGATTTTTTCAAGACCAAAACTTCATTCAAGACCAAAACAAAATTTTGTAAGTTCTTCACTAATAACACGTTCAGCACATATAGCTATTCGCCAGTGGCCATTAACCGACCATAAACTAGACGAAGTATTCGGTAAACAAGAATGGTTCAAGAACCGAAATGCATTACAAAAATATTGTGAATCAATCACAATATTTTCAGTAAGATCCATACAATAAACTGGTGAAATTGTTTCATCAGTGATTGATTTTTGGCTGATCGTCGTACTACTTAATTATTGACTGGTTAACTTGTTAGTTGATATGACAAATTTGAAACAAATTTTTCATTCTTTCCAAACAGTTAGGCAATGGCCAACCAGGGCATCCAAAAATATACAAATCGATCAGGGAAAAAGGACACAATGGATAACAAATATAAAATAATATAATAATCACCATACTTACTTTATATAAAAGAGTAAGGTGATTAGTGTCTGTGTGTATACATCCAACAGTAGGGAATGCCTTTAAGGAGTGCTTTTTGAGAATGCTTTCAGCGCCATCTGTCGGTAAAAAGTTTCTGAAGTGGTGAGATGTAGCTTTGATGCTCTTTCTTTTAAAAATTGTTTTAGCTTTGCGCGTTGATGCAGCTTTTGCATCAAATAGATGACCGTCAATTAGTCAGCCCCGCAGGGCCAGTCTGGACAGGCGCGTAGCGTATGTACCAGGCTGGTATAATAATATAATAATAGTAATAAATAGTAATAAATAATAAATAATAAATAGTTATAAAATAAAATATAACATTAAATAAAATGTGAAATGTGTCCGTGTGGTGTGTGAAATTAATAAAAATAAAAATTCTCTGTGCACACACATCAACATCAAACACAACTTAGATCAAGAAGTGTGCATGAGCCAGTGTGATTAAGACAATGCTTTATTACAATCGGAACATTACCATAATATTAATTATTAATATTAATTAATAAATTAAATTAAAATTAAAACCACAAAACAATAATTACAAATTACAAAAACAACATGGGTTTTTTTGAGGTATCAAAAATCAAATTCAACCAAAACCCATTTCTGATAGAAACTTGAAAAAAGAAAAGAATAAAAGGGAAAGGCAACTCACGTTTATGAATCAACATTTTCGTATAATTTCAGTGATGGTGCGATTTAACATGAAATAAAATTAAAAATGAAAATAAAAATTTGTTTGATTCGACTTGATATATATCATCATCACAGAGAATAATATCAAAATGAAAAACAAAAAAATCAATTGGTGAAAACGCATTTTTATCAAGTCAAAAAACACGTGCTCCAAACCATGGATCACGAATGAGTCACAAGTTACTCACGCATTCAATGCATGCACAAAAGCAAAAATACACCACATCCTTCTCTTCTGAGCGAGAAACAGCTCAGAAGAGGTTCATTCATAAAAAACGCATCATCTTTGTCACTAATGCCATCTATCGGTCTTTCATTGAGTTGCCAAAATTGTTTTTTTTTTTACAATACATCCATGTGCTCAATTTTTTGCTCAAGTGTTGAATCCAGAAAATACTTGTACCATCTTTTAACAGAACCAGGTAAGAAAACAAACCAAACTTTCATTTTTAATTAAATGTCCATTCATTCACCACAGTGTTAGGAATATTCTACCGTCATCAAGCTTTTCGGATCAACACAAAACGATGACGATAATGATGCTTTAGAAATAAGATTTGAAACAATGCAAAAATTCATCAAATCTAAATATGGCCGTTTGTGCACACAAATAGCATCGTTGTGGCAACAATTTCGACAACATTTCCATCAACAATCGACAAGTAGTCATCAATTGAATGATAATCAAATAAGCCAATCATCTGAAGAATATGATTCGGACACCACAATTGTCGACTCATTAGACGACCATCATCATACACCAGCCGACGAAATTATGATCACAAATGATATATCTGAAGACAAGGAACCAGAAAACAATTCATCACCGAATCTTGAACATATTGATTGCCAACAATACAAATGCGACCATTGTGGCTATGCAGCCGGAAGCAAGGATCGTCTTGATGAACACATACAACAAGTACAGTTAATTTAATCTTGATTGTTTGTCAAAAAGTCGGCTTTTCTGAATGGCTGAATTGTTGGAAGTTTCAGAAAAATATTCCAAGTGGCGGCTGTTTAGGAACGATAAGAAGAAAAGCGGCGTGTATGGCTCTAATTATTGATTGTTGGTGGTGTATATAAGTTTGTGTCAAGTCGTTGTTGTTTCATCATTATTTTACTGTGTTCTTAAGTTACCAAATTGTGCTGTGTATAATTTTCAACAGGTGGGGTTAGAAACCTGTATATGGTGAAAATGCGTTATTGACCCTTACATGAGGAAGATTCAATTCAATCAAAATTTATATGGGCTACATAGGACGGCCGATTTATCATTGTTATCCGATGATAGCCTTACATATCTTTCACACAACTCTGTAAACACATTTTGCAATCATTATTACACAGAACAAAATTTTAATTTTTCTCGTCTCTTGAATCATGTATCTACTAGTTTTTATTTATTCACGGTAAAAAAGTCCCTGGGACTTGGTAATCTTTTGGATATTTGGATTTCAATACAACAATAAACACACCATCTGGTGAAAGCAAGTGAATGTAGCAATACAAACAACAACAACACGAATAAAGCCGGCTAGAACTGAGTTGCAATTCAAGTAGGCAGCACTGTGTGTGGTGATCTGAGGACAGACAGACGTCACGTGCCTACGTGATTTGAATGACGAAAAAAATTCAAAATTTCATCAACTGATGTATAGACACACACACACACACACACACGGTGCTATCATTCTATGCGCTACTACCTTTTATGAATCCAATTCTACGGCCGCCATATTATATATAAGTGGTAAAGGGTGAATACGATTGCTCGATATTTACCATTTGCTGCTACAATCCACTAGTACGTGTATAGATTGAATGTCAAATGTTGCCATACCACTAGAAGAAGAATATGTGTAATTGTTGTTGTTGTTGTTGTTGGTGGTGGTGGTGGTGGTGGCCGCAGTGGTCCGTTTGTACATTTGGCTCGTTTCACACATTTCTCTGCAATTTGTTCTTTTCATTCCCATTATTATTCATTCAATCATCAATTCAATGATTCACCACTCGATCTCGTAATTTGGACATTTGTTGATTTCAAATTTAACAATCCACAATCCGATCGTTCACATCCAAAGGTATGTCATGTCTAATGAAAATCCTGTCAACAATCATCATCAGTTTCATTACACAGTAATTCCATGCAAATGTCAACAGCTAATTGAATGCAATTCAAATCACACACTGTCATTGTTCAAATGACACATTCATTCGCACAATCATTTGCCTGCTGCACAGATTAATCTCACCAATCCAACAACAACAACAACAACTCGACAATTATGAAGGAAACTAGTCACAAGTTTCAATTGCAGGCAAAATCCCATTTATCCAGTAATTCACAGATCAAAATGTCACCAGAAAGTAAAAACGAATCCAATTCAAATGGCCGTATTCATCAGCCATCATCGTCATCGCCACCACTACCACCACCAGCAGCACCACCACCACCACCACCACCATCATCATCATCATCATCATCATCATCTTCATCTTCATCATGCTTATCGACTACAAAGAAATCATCAAAAGTTGGTCCACTGTCCTATCGAGATCGGATGAAACGGAAATTATCAGACACATCATCATCATCAACAACTGCAGCCACGACGACGACGACGACAACAAACGCAGAGAATAATGATCCATTATATAATGCTTTCAAACGAATGTGCCAGCAAGACGATTCAAGACGCATGTTATTCCGAATATTGGCTCAGGATTCATCATCGACACAGGCAACTTGTTCTTGCACAACAACAGCTGCAAACACACTGATCAAAGAGTTTGTACAACGTCTTCGTTGCAATGTTGGAAAATCTGAAAATCAACATGATGAATCCACGTCGACAAATGATGACATTGACATTGCACCATCATCATCGGCATCAACATTGTCATCGTCGTCATCGTCGTCGTCGTTGATCCATAAACAACGAAAAAGTGAACGGGACAACAATAACAATGTACATGTTCAAACAATCAAATTGGATGCAAATGACCATCCTCATCACCATCAGCATCAACACCAACACCAACATCACCACCATCATCATGCTCATCGCCACAATTCGACAGTTTGCAATGATAATTGTTGCAACAATAAAACGTTATCGAATCAAGTGAAAAAGTCAAATGTACGAATTCAATGCAAGATCGTGCAATATCTGGCCACACAGATTCGCAAATTGCCATTGGCATTGTCGTTGTCATTGATGACACCTCGACTACCGATGCCAGCGGCCGAATTACAAAATCTACGATATGGAAAATATTTTCGCGTCGAACAATGTCCAAATGGCTATGCAAAAGTGTTGCATCTCTATTGGGATGAAATTGCTCATCTGGATCGACAACAAAAGCTGGAATTGGCAGCTGAATACATGAAGGAAAGCTTTCGTGAAGTGAAACCAAACGTTTCTGCATACGTAATTAGTATTATACACAATGCCGCCTATTACATGCCCGATTGGCTTGAATGGCTTTCCGACACGAACCCTAATCTAGCGGTCAAGGCCGGAAAACTCGGTCAATCTGGCTCCGATATCGAGACGACCACAATGACCAAATATCGTCAACAAGTAAGCTGTTAATCTTTTCCACTATTCACTCACTCATTCATTGATTGATTTTTAGGTACACAAAACCTATCTGAATGGCACCTATCGATATGGCCCATTACATCAGGTTTCGGTCGTCGGAACTGTTCACGAAGAAGTTGGCGGCTATTTTCCACGGTTGATTTCGATTCTGGAGAAATCACCATTTCTTCGTTTAGTCATGCCATGGGGACCAATGTCATCATTGCAGCACATGTCATCGCCCACTGAATCAAATGATGGCCCCATACTCTGGGTTCGTCCTGGTGAACAATTGATACCGACCGCTTGTCTTTCATCCAATTCTTCGTCATCCAACACACCTACTAAACGTCAGAACCAACTGCGCGGTCTTTTACGACGATCGTCGGAACCTCGAGAATTCATGTTTGAAGATAGGTTCGTTCATTCTTGATTTGTTCACTGTATTTGTACATGATTGGTAACCACCAGCATTTTGTTTCGATTCGACACAGGACGAAAGCTCATGCTGATCAAGTGGGCGAGGGTTTGGAACGACAAACCACTGCCGCCGTTGGTGTGCTGAAAGCAATTCACTGTGGACAACAGCCTAAATATAATCGTGTGACCAAAGATGTGGTAGCGTTCGATGCAGCGCATTTCGATGAACTTACCATGAAATTACAGCTGGATCTTTACGAACCGCCTGTTTCGCAGTGCATCACTTGGATCGAAGATGCCAAGCTCAATCAACTACGCCGTGAAGGTGTCACATATGCTCGTGTGCAGCTACACGATAATGACATTTATTTCCTACCGCGCAACATTATCCACCAATTCCGTACAATCACCGGTAAGTTGAATGACTCATACTCAAGTGCTTACTAATCAATAAAACCTGTCCACCATCAATGGTTGTAATCATATAGCTGTAACATCGATTGCCTGGCATGTTCGTCTCAAAAGTTATTATCGTGATTCTGTATCGGCCAAACATGATAAAACGGACGACAATCAAGCCAAAGATCAATCATCGCACAGTAATAATCGTCACCAACAACAACAACGAAAACATTCGATTACGAAAAAATCCAATCCAAACAATAAACAACGTTCCGACAAGCAGGAAGAATCATCATCTCAAGATGGAAAACCGGTGCCGAACAAACGAGCTCGTATTGCTTACTCCTGCTGCTGCTGCTGCTGCTGATGATGATGATGATGATGATGATGATCGTAGAGAAATTGATGATGCCAAAACAGCAGATTTGAAAAGCAAAATTCAAGAGGAGGACTCGGAAAACAATGGACAATTTCGAAAACGTCGTCATAGTGCGACGACACCTGAACAGAATCGTTTGCCGTTCGATAAGCAACGTGTTCACAGCGAACCGCCGTGTATTCGGAAATGTAAATCACGCAAACAATTGGTCATGAAATTTTTACGACAAAATTCAATAATCAAACAAGAGCAATCGTCATCGCAAGGTCCCAACGACAGAAAACGCAAATGTCTGGATGATCAACATTGCTGCAATTGAATATGAACAATTTGAATTGTATACATCTATATCGGTCATTCTCAGTTCATGATTATAGCTAGTCTAAATTGCGTTTCGCTCACACGCCCATTCATTTCCATTTCTTCTTCATCTTCTCATGCATGCTTTGCTCTCTCACTTTTTTCCCGGATCTCTTTTTCTTCATTTTCACACCCACCGTTTGATACTTTTTCGTTTCAACAGTTTTTTCAACACACACACACACACACACACACACTTTGCTGTAATCTGGTTTGATAATTTTTCTTTCATTGCATACATTGATGATTATTGATTATATATATTACATATTTATTTTATTCACCGACAAATCGTTGATGGATTAATATTTTTAAATTTTATAAAAAATTCAATTAAAGCATGCATATATATTATACTATTATTACACACACAATTATTGTGAAATGGCCAATCATTCAAATTCAATCCATCATCAATCATCAAAATAAAAATGAAAATGAAAATGAAAATAAATCCAGTCATGATTTCAATGGCGCTAGATGGCTCCAGTGGCGAGACAACACATGTTTTTCTCACTCTGGTGTCAATCATCACCATCATCATCATCATCATTAATCATTAATCACTAACCATGTTACCATTGTTGCGGCAAAAATTTCGTAATCTCTACGATACGATTCGTTTTTTACCGAAAGTAACCCGTCGTCGGATATATTTGGCCGCATCGATCACGGCCACAATGACTACAACCGGCATCTATGTGGGCCTACAAACCATCAAAGTCGATACATTCGTCAATCATCTACAAATGTACAGGTATGTGTCTCATGATTGATTGATTATTCGGATTGAAATTGAAATATATCGAAATGAATGAATGAATGAATGAATGACAGAATGAAAGCACCGATGCCTGTCAATGACAAACTGGATCATTTGCTGGACCAAACTATCGAGAACGATGGATTCGAATTTGATCGTCGTGGCAAGCATCAACTACATCTATTCAATACATTCGGTTGTGATGTGAGTCTTGTTCTGTTTACTGTTTCTTGCTCCATGAATAACACTTTGTTTTGCAAATCAGATCTATTCAATTGGCAATGTTTATTTGCCGACCGGTGCCTATATCGGAGTGCCATTTACATTCAATCTGGAATCGACCCAACAATTAGATACAAACGATATACGACTATTGGGACGTTACAAGACAAAACGAACACGTGATTCGCCCGTCATAAAGAAACTGTTTCAATCATTGATACTGAGCGATGACGCAAAACGTTTTGCATTCGCACATCAGCTGCATCTACTGTCATCATCATATTTTCTAATCAAATCACTGAATATAATGACCATGACTGCCTTGTACATGTGGATCGTGCCCAGATTCAATCGTCTACGACAAGTTGATAATCGACCATCACGCCTCTTGCCACGAACAATGGGTGCTTTTCTATGTCTGTTCCTCGTGACATCCATGACAATCGTTGCGGATCAATTACTGGATTACATTTATGATTTACGGTCATTGCGGCAAACAATCCGACGCAATGATCAACATCTCAAGGGCGGACAGGAATTTTATGAGAAATTGATTCAACGTAATCAGGCAATGTTTGAACTGTTGGGCGAACAAGGACCCAAAATCTTTACATCAAATGGACATGTAAAACGACTGTTTGGATTATATACAACATCATACGAAACACATCTAGATTACATCAACCTTCATCATCATTTAACCCATCAATAACGTCAAATGTAGTAATGAATGTAAATTTTGTCTTGTCTTTTTCCTGTTTCTTTAATTATCATCATCATCAGTAAAATTTAATTTAATTTAATAATAAATGATAAATAAATAAATAATAATAATAAATAATCCTCACTCACTCATCATCTAGCTATCTCTTTCTCTCGCAGTGTACAACAAAAAAGTTGTTTAGTTGGGAATAGTAGAATGTTGTGAATTGACATTTCTCTTTATCCTTATCACACATGCACACTGAGAAAGAAAGAAAGAAAGAAAGAAAGACTGGTGTTTGAAAATTAGCTATGCTTCTGCTACTGCTTGGTTTTCAAGTTTCGAGTTTATATCTCCCGAGCTTCGACCATCACATTTGCACTTTGTTGGCAAAGCGCATGCATGAATTCACTTGGATTTTCTGTTGTTTTCTTTCCAGGGTCTGGTATGATTTTGTTTGCCACTATGGTTTCGGCAACACAGTCTTGGTTTGGCATTCGTACCATCAATACACACAGGCAGCACAGATACCAACACGGACCACCTCATATTCTTGGTTCGTAACTCGACTTGCCATATTTAGCATTGGTTCGCATTCATCATTAATGATTTATATTGTGTTTGTTTGCATTTTTGCATTCATCATCAGTCATCATTATCCATCATAATCGACAAAGAGAATATTGAGAATGCAGCACATTTCTCAACGGGTATGTATCTCTCAAATTACTTTGGGCGTGTGTGTCATAAAATTTTCTCTGGTTGTCAATGGTGATCATGTCTCTCATGTAACCATTCTTTCTGTGGTGTTGTTGTTGTTGTTGTTTCCGAGAAACATGTTGATTTCGGTCAACCCTTTCAAAACCGGTAACCATTATTTTGGTCGAAAATGATAAAAAATGATAAATTGAAAAATGCAAATCTTTGGGCCAACACAGTGATCACAGTGTTTTATTTGTTTGTTTATTTATTTATTTTCAATGCACACGCAAACACAAACAGACAAATGATGATCTATGAACTTTGATATCTGTCATGACATTATCATTCATATTAGAGAGAAAGAGGGGGGGGGAAATCCAATCATTCAGTCAGTCATTCAGTCAGTCATGTTCAAGCGAAAAGCCAACAACCTGTTGATCATCACAAGCTAATCATGTCCAAACTGATTACCAAAATCAATCAATCAATTCATTTAAATCTTGCAATTAAAGTCCATTCAAAGTACAAATACAACAAAAACTTTGAAATTTAATTCATTGCACACGCGAATCATTCTAGTCACTTTTAATGATTGTTATTACAAAAGTTGCACTCTAATCAATCTGATTCTCCAATTTTTCTTTCCATGCTCATAGTGAACTCAAATACGCCTTCACAACCATACAATCAACCACCACCGCCACCATCCTTGTCCTTAATTGGTTCGGTGGTATATCACACAGAATCGATCCCTTCAATTGTGTCAGCAGTGAATCGACCGGCTACTCAAGACAATCGACCGAAAATCAGCAAAACACCCACATAAAGCAGCAAAAGAATATATTAATAGTTGTATTGAATTTCTTTCTTTCTGGGATTGCATTTTTTCAACCAAAAGTTGAACATATCGGAACCATGAACCATTCATTCGTCGTTTAATTTTGTTGGTGATCATCATCACTCAGCAACGTATGCATGTCAATCGAATCCTGAATCTTCATCATCAGAATGGCCTATGTAAATGTAGCCGAGTGGACTGCCCAACATGTAGGCGACTGGCTTTATGGTAAGAAACGATGAATCGACAGTTTTTTTTGTCTCCTCAGTTAGCCTCATTAATTGCTATCATCATCAATCGATCAATGATCGATTCATGTATTCAATATACTAACCTTACACAGAAGCCAAAACAGAAACAGAAACAGTGTCATTGATTTTTGTTTGTGCCAATTCTGCTGCACAAATAACAATGAATGATGAGTGTTGGAATCTAAAAATAGCTAATCGATCCATTTATTATGTCCATTCATTCGATATATCCACAATCGATCGTTGTAGAAAACAAATTGGTGATGCAAAGACTTGGCTTTTTTATTTTAATTTGCATTTTCTCATTTATTATTACTGCGTTTAATTCAATCACGAATCCGTCAAGTCAAACAGAAAGGACAAATACACAAACAATACACCCATAGAGAGAGAGAAACCAGATTCATCATCGATGTTTAGCAGTGTTTTTTCCGTTTAATCGTTCAAGGTTATTTTGATTGTCACTTGAGTTTGTTTCATTTTTATTAAGATGATGTTAGGCACACCATCGCACATTGATTGCTAATCAGGATTCTTTTCCAAAGCAAATGAATTATTATTCAAACGCACAAACACATAACCGAAACGGTTTCATATTAGCCACAAATAAACAATGAACAATTCTTGCGCCATGTTTTTCGAAATGAAAAACCCAACCTTTTCATTTCCAGGCATTCACTCAATTAGATGATTACCGTGACAAACAAACAAACCAAGTGAATGAACATAGTGAATGGAATTCCTAATCCTTTTCAATTGAATTGAATTTCATTTTGAATGAGAAAATTAGAAAAATTTCTATTTATTCTTAATCTCTCATCATCCTCGGGTTGCATATGGCTATATGAAATTTCAAATTGCCAAGCTCTGGACAGAAATGGCAAATTCAATTTTCTGCTGGGCTATAAACAAAAAAGTTGAATGAATCAAGTGCAAGTGAATGAAAGGCAGAAAAACATTTTCTATTCATTCATTTCCGTCATACTGTGGCTATTTTTGAAATGTTTTTGAACATCCAACCACAAGACACAAAAGATCCTGAGACCTAACCGTTTGTTTTTCACGTTTTCATGAGCAAATTTTTCTGCCATAGGCTGATGCTTCAATTCTTGAGTAATGGAGAATCCACTCTCTCTCTCTCTCTCTCTCTCTCTTTTTTCTTTGTTTCTTTGTTTCTGTGTTGCTAGTGTATGCATTATCAATATATATGTTAATGTTAATGTGTATTCAGTATTCATTATTCATTGAAACCTTTTGCTCTTGAAACACAAAAACAAAAAGTGTTTTACTTGCGCGCACAAAATGAGGATAAATTATTAATGAATCAATCATCTAAATCACTAATCAACCATGTATTTGGTGCTGATTTGGAGCTGGTTCCTAAACAAGAATTATCTGGCCAACAAACTTGAACCAATCATCATTATCATAGTAATGACTTTTATTCATCATAATCGTGCCATATCCATGAATATATCGAATGAATGAATCGATTGCAGCCAATCAAGTCAAGTGATCAAGTGATTATTAATCCCCACCATCTCATTCAAATACAATTTGTGCATTTCAATGAAAACTTTTCATTACCATCGCGTCAAGTACAATAAACTTAGGTTTGGCCATTGTGAACACACTTGGCCTACATTTGTTAATTATATAGTCACATACCAAGTATGTGATTCGAGAGTGGTCGTCGTGAATTCCATCTTGATCATCCAAATCCAAATACTCAGGCAAACAACAAATTCATTAACATGATAAACTTGTGTCAATCACACTCACTCATGCACAACTAGTTATAATGTTACTAATGCACACACACACATTACCATTGCAGTAACAAATTCAATTCAATTCAATTACATCAGGTGCTCGTGATCAACCAGATTGTAAACAAATTCTTTCATTTCTTCCAATGAATCAACATGGCTCGTGTTTATTCAAACCGAAATTGAAAATCAATCATCATGTTATCATGTTATATATAGCTGATGATGATATATATAACTTAACACTGACTCAATTCACCATTTCAGATGAATATGACAGTATGCTTTGATCATTCATGTCATTGGACACAGCCTCAAACCAAGTGAAACCAACGAATTTCGTTGCCAACAGCATGTCACTGAAATTGCGCTTTACACTTTTCCACCGTCATCGTTGGCATCAATTCAAACTTGATTCAATTCGGTTTGTCGGTCGATAGTCGATTCATTCGATGGATGGATGGATGGATGGTGTTTGTCAGGTGTCTTTGAGCTGGAATTTTTTCTCGCTTCACCAATGTTTGCTACCTGCCATGCTAGTTTTTTTCAGACCACCACAACACCACCACCATAATCATCATAATCAATGGCCAGAAAAAAAATTTACCCTCAAGCCATTTGACGAATAAATCGACATTTTTTCACCACACAAGTGAATTGATCATCAGAAAATGAAGAATAAATTGCTGGCCCAAAACAATGATGATAATAGTCTGCAATATGGGTGGAACCCATTTCTCATTCAATAGAATCGAGTCTGTGTCTGCATCAGAATGCAGTAGCAGCTCCAATTTTTTTCAAATAATCCAAGGCCATAGGCTCATGGTGTGTGTGTGTGTGTTGTGTTTGCGTGAGTTGACCTTTTAGAATGAAGAGAATATATATACATAGACCCTTGACCCGTCGTGAATGAGAAATGTCGCTCATGTTGATTGTTTTATGGATGCTCGATGTGCTTTCTAGCTTAAGGGCAAATTCACAAGCATCATCATTATTTTCTTGACCATTCTCCTCCACATGCAATGCTTTTCTTCTTTTTTTTTGTTGACTTTTTGAAAAAGTAATTTTTCCACTTTTTACTGCCAATAAACACACACACACACAGAGAGAGAGAAAGTGAATGAAATCAAATAGATTCTGATGACTTTTCAAACTTGTGAATCAAGATCAAACACACACACACATGTTGCAAATGGCGGCCGGAACTGTTTTCATTGGTACATCGATTATCGGATGATGATTATCATCACATGTTCGACTTGAAATTCTTGACACAAACCATGCGAGCCAGCAGCAGCAACAATCACAACCTGCTGTTGCTGTTCGCTCTATTCCAAACAATTTCAACCAGATGTGCTACCATCTGATAAACAAGCCTAGTGACCTTTCTCCTTCTTCTTACTTGTTTATCCATACTGCATTAGGTTCAGAAATGTTCTTCGGCTAGTTCTGGGTCATGTTACCCAGAACGGTTCAAATGAGTTGATGGCAGGATGTCCAGTCCATGCTAAAAACAACTGCAAACAAAACAAGACGTCGTTCAACAATGCATGCAACAATCGTGGGAACCAATATGAACGTCATTCATACGTTAGCAACTCTCATAGTCAGGGTTTTCGTACGACGACGACACCACCAAAAGTCATTGGCTTCAATACAATAAAGCAAACGCACACACACACACACACACACACACACACACACTGTAACAATCGATCAATGAATGTGAGGGCCAACCAGATGTTGTCATCATGTGATGATCAAGTGATACTACAAAAAAAACCAATTTGACCATATTTGCCAAATAGGATCCCATTCAAACCATAAGACCCGATCACAAATCAAAAAGAAAATCCAAGACTAGAACATGAACACCTGAATTTGCCACTACTACTACTGCCATGTTCTATTATTAGAGCATATTCTATTAGATAAATTGAAAGGCATCAAGGACAGCAGGTGGGTAAACTACATAACTGACCTCAGGACAATTTCTTCAACATCGTCATAACCAAGTTTTTCTTCACTCTTTTCATTCATCCATTATTATTTGCTTTGGCAAAATTGAACAAAGCAACGAGAATGAAAGAAAAAGTGAAACATGGCCAACTTTTGGCTATATGATGAACCTGTTTCTATGATGATCTCGAGCGAAAAAAAAGAAAATTTCAACCTGATAGATTGTTAATCACTTTGTCTTGATCTTTGAATAACTTGGACCAGGCATCATTCAATTTTGTGATTAAATTGCAGACAATGATCAAATTGACTCGATTTTTGCGTGAAAACGTGACATGCCTGTACATGTGAATTAGCCTCCAGGTTTCTAATCACATTTCTTTCTTGTTCTCCATTCACCGCCACTAGGTCTGGATGATTCGATATTGCCCTATGTACAATTCTTTGTCAACAATCAAATCAATGGATGTCGTTTGCTATTGCTGACCGCACAGGACTTGGTCAATCTCAACATTCACAAAATTGGCCACCAAGAAATCATATTGGAAGCGGTAGAGCTATTGCGTAATCTCCACTACAACATTACATCGGAAACATTGCAAACGATTGCCTTACGTTTAGCATGCAAATCACGGGCATTGTTCAATCAGCTGAAAAAATCAGCGGAAAAAGCTGCAGCAGTCGCAGCCGCAGCTGTCCAAGCATCCAATCACCATACAACCGATGTGGAAAACAATAACCATTCCCACAGTGGCAGTAAAAAGGATAAAAACAAAGACAAGGATAAAGACCATCATCACCAATCTAACACAAATCAATCAACAACAACAACTATCGATTTATCGCCTGTATCGACAGCGACACTGGCATCCGTATCGGACATATTATCCGCTGTCAAAGATTTCATATCATGGATCGATCGTTATCCGTTCGATGGACAGGATAAATATGTGCAAGCTCGTAAAGCTATATTACAGCTGTCTATAGAACTGACATCTACCGCTCAACGTGATCAACAATTTGTTCAGGGACCCAACGAAGTGATACGGCAAAGTTGTAAAAAATTGGCCGATCTCTGTGATCGTCTTGTACAGGAATTGAACGATTCACTAGCAATGCAAGCATCATCATTAGAAGTGGTCACTGTGACCAAGAATATGGATGAGGATCTTGGTATGCACATTCACTCTTCCTATTCCGGCATTCATGTCGTCGGTGGCCTCAAATATCATTCGCCCGCACATCTTAATGGTAACATTGAAGAAGGCGATGAAATCATCCAAGTCAACTATCAGACTGTCGTCGGTTGGCAATTGAAAAAGTTGGTCGCATCAATGCGCCGTTTTCCCACCAAATTAATATTGACCGTCAAGAAACGGCCACGTCATCATTCAAGCGGTTCGTTTACGGTGGTACCACAATTTGCATTACCATTACCCGAAATGTCTATCATCGGTAATTCCAGTCTGCCACTCGGAACATTACCCATGAGTAATGACAATTGCACCATCTACAACACAATCCTCTCCACTGGATATCCACTTGATGCTTATTCAATCAATCAACAACAGACGACTACAGCAGCCATTCAGGATAATAATAGTAGTCTCAAACAACAAGATCCAACCATAACAGAACAAACACCGTTCAACAACAACAACAACAACAACAATCACACATTGACATTCAACAGCGACAAATCGAGTACAACGGAAAATTTTATGATCCAAAATAGTAGTGCTCACAACAATCATGATAACAATGGTGACAAGAACAATAATAATAAACCACAGAATCGTAAACCATTGACCATGATGATGATGATGTCATCAATGCTGTACAATGATACAAACAAACATAATCTAGATAATCTGGATAATCTGGATGACTTTGCAAATCATCATTTCAATCATCATAAAGAACAACCTCACAAAGAATCGACAAACATCATACAACGTACAACATGCACTTTATCAGATGATTCCTCACCATTATCTGATCTATCCGACGATGATGACGACGATTCATCCACAATGTTTTCAACCGATTCGGACACAGACACCGATTGTTCCATCAATCGCCATCATCATCACGGCCATCGACATTCACATCGTAGCCGATCAAATCATAGAATTTCGCATAATGACAACAACAACAACAACAACAACAATCACATCAAAATCGAATCCTCAAACCATAATAATGGCAAAAAACAGAAAATGAAATCAACAACCAAAATTGATCGTACTGATCAAATGACGACCACCACCATTGCCACCACCACCACTACAACGAAAACAACAACCACAACGCCATCTACGGAAATTGCAATAAACGATAGCAATGGCCAAAAGACAATCAGCTGTCGAACTAAACATTCGAAAAAAGCAACCATCAATCGTCATGACTGTTGTTGTTCATCGGACCATGAATTTATTGGTGCCAGTGAATGTGAAATTGAAGACATGGAAGAATATAACGACAATGATTCGGCTTTCTATTCTGGACGACGTACGACAACATCGACATCGACATCGACAACAAGTTCCAAAAATGAGGATTCCAACAAATCCAATAATCACGTGAACAATTGTCCAGCAACAATGTCAACGACTACAATGACGACAACATCATTATCATGTTCATCTTGCTCATCCACGACGAGTCAAAACACGAAAAATTTGGCCAATTCATTTGTCAAGATACGAATTTCGAAACAAAAATCATCATCATTTTCATCCAAGGAGAATGAAAGCATGGGCGGTAATGATTCGGCCGATTCCGGCATTCGCGAACGTGATGATAACGATATCGATGAAAACATGGTGATGATGAAACCTCGTACAAGTGCAGAATTTGAAGAATTATATCTCATGCAAAAGAATGGCAACAACAACAACAACAACAACAACAACAACAACGCAACGGCAATAGCACCAGCAATGAACAAAACTGCATTCAATTTCGGAAAACTCATGAATGCCACACAAATGACGTCGGTACAGCTGTCAACCATAACACATCTGACCAGTTTGGCCAAAAATATTCGATTCGCCAATATGACACAGGTACAAAACAACGTGCAACAACCATCATTGTCATCGTCATCATCGATATCATCGGCAAATACGCATTCGAAATCAAAGTTCGACCCAATTCTAGGTATGTATTTTTTATATTTATATTTATTATTATTATCACCATCAAATTGATTGAATCCAACTATCCAACTTTGTTATTATTGTTGTAGCGCAAAAAATTGAACAGACAATTCACAGACTAAGTGGTGGTGATCTAGTCATGGGAAACTATCAAGGTCATCTCTACACTTATAAAGGATCCGAACGAATCGGGGGCAATAGTGCCGATATTCCATCATTAGGAATGATTGTCGATCCAAAACAATTGCAGAAATGGACCAAAATTCGTTCCGTGCTGCGAGATAATTGTCTTTATTCATATCTCAAAGATTCGGCTGTCGCTTGTTTCGAAATTCCGATTCATCTACCCGGTTACTATATACTGGTGGATAAACAAATGTTTCTCGATCATCATCAGAGGCAGCAACAAGATGGTGCACAATTGAAACAATTGGTCATCTTCAAACTGGTCACATATCATCGTTTGTTCATGTTTGCCGTCGATTCACTGGCCGAATTGGTTCGCTGGATTGTCCGGTTCGGTTATCGTTTCTGCTGTAATCCAACCGAGCCTCAACTTTGCTTCACATATTATCTATCGCCAGCACATATTGGCGAATCACCGTCAACATTACCGCCATCATTTCATAATCAAAAATTCGAATCTATTCGATCACAGGCCATGAGTAGAGATCAATCTTCCACTGACGACAGTCGTAAAGAGACGCCGCTGCAATTATCCGAATTGGAATCCGACGACTATCATGATCTATTGACCATCAAGTCCAGCGATTCCAATGATGGTTCGCATCATGTCAAATTCCAGAGTATGAATGATGTGAATTCAGCATCAACCAACGACAATGATGATAATAATGGTGGCCATCATCGATTCATAAAATCACCGCATCCACGTGGCTCCATTCGTTTTGCTGTTCGTCGTTCTGGACAGGATCTAGATTTCGTTGACTCGACAATCGACGTGAAAAAGACGTTGGCCGAAAATCTGGATTCAAATGACGTACCTGTCAAAACGATTGATGCACCAAATCTACCGCCAAGATTGTCAAATTTTTCAATCAAAACAACTACTCCTGCAACGGCAACTATTACTACTACTACGACAACAACAACAATAATCAATGATCAAATGCCGAGACCAAAACCTCGAATATCGAAAATGGCCATCATGAATGGCCGAGTCAACGCATCATCCTCTACAAATTTAGCTGCACAACGGTTAGCACCGATTTCAGTGCCTGAAAAATCCACACATATCAGTCAAACAATACAGCATTTCGCCAATCTACAGCGACAGAATAATCTTCGAACAAGTTTTGCTCAGCAACAGCATTCTTTGATGACGACAAAAAATACAAAAATGGCCACCAGTAGTAATCAACAACTCAATTATGCAGATTATGACTACATCATCAATAACCGACCGAAACCACTATCCACACAAGATCAGATTGTAGCCAAACAACCGAACACAACAACAACCATGCAAACCATAGGTAACCCATTATATTGTCATGTTCCGATGGCCACGAATCTTCAGCAACAGGCCCAATCATCCGATTCATCAACATCATCATCGGACCAGGATGAATCGCGATCATCATTACCACCATCGATTGATCCACCACCACCACCACCACCAGCATCACTTCCATCGTTGATCATTGATAATCTGGAACAACAACCATCGAATCAATCCACACCTATTCCAGTTGGTTCACCACGTGTACAGACAAAACGTCCGGCCAAACAACAAACAATGGTCAACAACACTGCAACACAAGTTGCACCGGTTGTACCGCCTAAACCAAATCGAAATGATTCGAGTAAGTTTGTTGATGACAATTTTGTAAATTTCATTCATTAATTTGAAAACATTGACTAGAAAAAGATTCATCAGAAGCACCTCCAACATTGTTGCCGAGACGGCCAATCAATCAAAGTCAGGCACCACCACCTTTGCCGACGACATCACATCCACAATTATCACGTTCAAATAGCAATCAACAACCAGCACAGATACCGCCTCCAATTTGTCCAAAGCCCGACCTAATCAAGTGTTTAGCTGCGGCCAAATCTGGTGCTAAATTTTTGAATCGAAGTTTTTCCGATGCTGCATATCAATCATCAACGAACCATGGCTCGACAACATCCAATAGACCCTCATTGAAATCTCGACATTCATTAGAATCCAATCAAGATGATGAAACAGCCCTATTTTTAACAATTTATAACAATAATCAAACACTACAATTTCAGCGTACCGGATCGGTAGCATCGTTCGGTGATACACCCAGTACGCCTACGAGTATATCCGGTTTCGATATATCGCCCGGTCGATCATTACCGACAATGGGCCTATCAATGTTGGCCAAAAAACGACTTTCCAATGTCAGCGCCGATAGTTCGGCCATTGAAAAAGCAATCAATCTACATCACTCAAATTGTAATACTGCACCAATTGATCGTCGACCATCGAATTCCTCAATCACATCCGGATAGAAATAATCATCGTCGTTTGACTATATATTATATTATATATATGTCATATATTTATTCATTATTCATTATTTCTCATCATTTGTTTGCACATTTTTTGTACAAATTTTTGTTTTCAATCAATCAATCAATCAATCAAAACTCCAAATAAATTTAATTTTATCAATCCCAATCAATCGATAATCGATAATCAATCGTAGAAATCCATTGAAGATTGTCGTCGTCGTCGTCGTCGTCGATAATCGTGGTGAACCTGTTTTAACTGTTGGTCCCTGTGATGGCAGCTGAAGCCATGACGCCAATACCATACAATGGCTACGGTGCCCAATGTCAACATGGCAAATGCCATCGATGTAAAGAGAATGTAGAGCCACAATGGTAATGGCCAACAATAATATGAACCGTACTCATATCCTTTGCAGTAGGATGAATGTATGTATGAATCGAGCAAGGATTGTTCGAACAAGTCCACATCCGTACTCATACATCGCTGCTGAATCCGTGAGCGCGTGCAATCAAACCAATCCCACATTGAACAGCATACCTGTATCATTTGGTAAATCAAACTTGGAATTTCTCACTTTTACAAATTGTCAACATTACATTACTTTTCGGTCAAATTCAGATGAAATATCCTCGTTTATCACTTGGTGACTTAGATCTTCATAACGATCCACATAATTGGCATAACAATGACGTTCACAAGTGATGATTGATTCACGGCATTCATTCGACACACTAGACAGCAGATAATTTATTTCGTTGCCAATATTAAGAATATTTGTACTAAACATTGACCCATCATCAATCATCGTTCTTGTCGTTGCATTAGATTCGGATTTATTCAACGGTCGTAACGTGGATTCATTTTCTATGCAAACACTTGATCCAACTGTGATGATCAATATTGAAAATGTTGTAGTCATCAGCATCATGATTAGGCTAGTGAATGGTCGAATTGTTGATTGTGCTTAGCTTGTTATATGTTGTTATTGTTGTCATTGTCATCATTGTCATTACTGGATAAACCGACAAATTACCGTGGTGATTATCCATGTTTATGTTACCGATTGCAATCATCATTTCAATAATATTATAGTATACTTTTGTACAAACAAACAAACATCAACATGTTGCCATCGCCACATGGATTAATGATCGATCATACACCAGTAACCGTTATCATCATGAAACCGAAAAAGAATTTCAATCCACGGCAGATGGAGCCATCAGCTTGTTTGTTGTTTTGTTTTGTTTTGTTTGTTCGTTTGAAATCATCATCACATCACATGGATTTATCTATTCATCTTTCTTACTCTTGATATCTTTCTCCGTGCCAGAGTGTGTTTCATTTATTGATGCAATTCATAACTGGGTACTTTTGGCGTTTAAATTTTGTTTTTCATCAATCTATTTCAATCAATCAATGTACGTGTGTTATAAAATACATTTGCATCACATGCATGATGCATCATCATCATCATCATTCTTATGAGAAACGAAATAGGCAGACATGAAATGAAATGGACAACATTTTTCCAATTGTCCTGGCTTTTCTTTCATTCAATCATTGGAGCATTTCTATTTGAATTTTTCGGTTTTTCCACCACCATGACTATAGAATGCAGACACGAGACCTATGGCTGGGTTTTTTGAACATTTGCCCTGAATTCTATACAAATGGCAACCACTGTTGATCATCATGAATAAAGAAAAAGTTCAAAGTGCATCATGCTTGTCATAGTCAGCAGCAGCAGCAACAACAACAACAACAACAAGTACCACCGCATGCTATGTATGGTGATAGCATAAACATACAGTGGAAATAATGAAATCAATCAAATCATACCTATCATCCCATCATGCATCATCATTATCATTATCGATGATAATTTTATCATCATGCAAATCATACATGAACAAATATGGCAAATTGGCAGATATTTCTCCATTCAATGAACATTATCTTGTTGATATAATTTCGTCTCTCTTGCCATCAAAGTGATTGAATCGAGTCAGATTTTGATTTTTCTGTCATTGTGATCGTTGTCGACAGTGGTAACAAAGTTATTCAGTTGGTGTGTGTGTGTGTGCGTGTGTATGTATATTTTGTATCTGTGGTTTTTGTTTTGTTTTGTAATTTGTAATTTGTAATAATAATTGTCTATATATCGTGATAGTTTAGTGTGTGTCTCAGTTATTGTTGATTGTTGTTCGTTAATGGATTCATTCAATAATCATCAAATCGTTTCGCAAGGTGACCGTCCATTTTCCACTTGCACCACCATTGTATCGACATCAAAACCAATCAGCGGTGAAGATATAATCAATATCCGAATGATCAGTGGACGAACAATCACTTCAACAACATCAGCGGCTACAGCTGCTCAACAACAAGGATCATCCACTACAGAAGAAGCCATTGTACGTTCAGCTACCGTATTGAATACATCCGGCACCATCGATGGTGTGCTCGATGTGACGCCACCACTACCGCCATCCACGACAGTTGCATCGACCAGTCAACCATTGTTGACCACGGCCAGTACACGAATAGCAAAAACATCAAAAACGAAATTCCTGATATTGGGCGCGGCAAAAGTGGGCAAAACACTAATATTACGACGTATGCAGAATATCAATTGGCCGTTGATCAGTGACACGTCCTTGTACAATCCGACAATTGGTCCAGATCTTCATCGCCTCAAATGTGGTAATATCGAAGCAATCGATATCGGTGGCCGACAACGATATATGCCAATCGCGAGAAAGTATTGTGAGTTATTTCAAACATTCGTCGTCGTTTTCGATTTGACCGAAATGGAATCGTTCACGTTGGCAAAAAATTGGCTACAATTCATTCACACGCACGATCTAATACAAGTGAAACGTATCATTCTGATTGGCAATAAAAGTGATCTTGATAATGAACGTAAAGTGGCAAAAAATTTGGCTAAAAATCTGGCCATGACATATGATGGTGATTATCTGGAGATTTCAGCCAAAATGGATCTAACCATGGATAAAATCATCGATGCACTCGAACATGACGATAAGAGCGATGCTAATCAATCGAATGATAAATAGCCGTCGCTATCAACCACCAACCACAACTACAACAACAACAACAACTACGACATTCGAATGAAATCAAAACAACACGTACTACGCACTCACTTTGTTCATCCATCAGGATTTTTTTTCTTTTTTTGGAGCAAATTTTGTAAATAAAATTCCTCTTTTTCTTTTTCTTTTTCTTATTTTGTCAGTTTTTTCGTAGTGATTCATTTTCCGTCCGTGCATCATGACGCAATCGATTTCAATTCTTTCCGCTGGACACTAGATTGTAAATTGTGAATTGAACAATATTTCACTTGAATTGACTTTTTATTTTTCAATTTCTCATTGCTTCTCGAGTCTTTAATATATCATATATATAGTCTATACTCAAACAAATTCGAGTTGAATGTCTGACATTGCACAAACATTTGATTTGATTAATCATGTGTTTATTATTCACCAATTCATTGTTTCAATCAGTCACAGTTTACATATATCTCGTTTCTCATTTCGGTTGATTTGATAACAAATTGGTCGTCGGCGTCTTTGTTTTGTCAAGTGCAACACTCATCTTATCTTTATCACCCAGTTTCAAATTTGAATATAGGAATATCAGTGGATAACATACTATAACACAATACAACACAACACAACACAACATGCACTGATATTCAGGTATTCATTGTTCATTTCGGTTCAACAACAATGAGAGAATGGAAACAATTCGGTCTAATGATTTTATTGGATACAATGGCCAAGATGAATCAAAAAAAAAAAAAAAAAAATAGGTCTGTCCAGGCCGACAAATACTGCATTCTTCACTAGGCTGGTTGTTTTGATTTCACGATCCAATAAATTTGAAATAAAATGAAAATCGATTCATTCATAACAACAATTTGGACATGGAACAACCATGTACAGGACACAAAGCAAAGAACAAAACATTCTAAAAACATTGTTAGTTTATCAAATGAATCCAATTTAAAACAAATCGATTCATCCATCTATCATCATCACCGAGACTGACTGTCGACTGATAGAATCGAATTTTTTTGTTGTCGAAAACCAAATTGGTTTTTTCTCCTTCCCTCAATGAGAATTTAAAATCACTTTTCACTCTCCCAAAAACTAAAAGATCGTGGTTGGCACAAAAATTCTGTTCGCTACAAATCTATCCATGATTGATCAATGTTTTTTTTTCAATTTGTCGCCAATTATGCCAGAGTATATCAAATGAAGCAAACGAACCGAAATTTATCGTTGTATTAGTAGAAAGATGCGCTGACAGTGATCGATTCCATTGGCAGAGCTAGTTAGCATGAAGTGCATGACATATTTCATATCTCTGCAAAGCTCAATCGATCGCCATGATCCATTCTCAACAATGTTGCCGTTTCCGACCAAAAGAAAATCATCACACAAATTGAAATGAACCCATAATGCATCCATAACTGAGAATTGATCGATTAGCCATGTAATGCGATGCGATGATGTAAACGATAAAATCTCACCACTAATTTTCATTCAACAAATGCGAAAACCGTAAAGTTAAACTGGAAATGTTTGGAAATGTTCTGAAAATATCAATATGCCATCCTTTTGAAATGTAAAACAAAATTTATGCAGAATGGAGAATGGAGAATAATTTCAATAATTTCAAAATGAATCAATCCACACCAGATGTTTGTAACCATTGCCGCTGTTATCAAATAACCAAATCGAATCTTTCATTTCTCCCTCATCACACAATCACAACAACATCATCACCAAATCAATCATTAGCAACTTTTGCCATAAATTGAGCAGATTACTTCTGAGTATTTTTCATGAGAAAAATGTTCCACAGAATCGAATTGATGAACACGAAAACAACAGCCATGCGATGAATGAACTTTTTTGTCACTGAAATCGGCAATGAACTCAAACGATAAAAATGAGAAAAGTTCATTCCATGAGAATCAAGCCCATGAGAATCAAGTTGGCTCAACTTTTTTTGTGTTCCTCTCTACGGACCAGAATCAACATTAATTGCAGATGTATAGATTCGCATTTGATTTCCGGCTCAACATTTATTTATTCACCATTATTTGTTCATCGATTCATTAACTCGACAACGTGTGCGAGTGAGCGTGGTTTCCAAGGATTTTTCAAGTTTCATTCCGATTGACGATTGATTTATGGCAAACTTTAAACTGGATTTGATTGGAAACTAAATGCAATGAACTGGTTTCAAGCAAATCATCATCATCATCATAGCTATTGAATAATAATTATTGATTCATTTGCCAAGTTTGCGCAATTTTTGCCTCTTATAAATTTTCGTTGTAAATTTCAATTCTTGACATTAAACATTAAATGCGCTGTCTGTTTTCATCCGGAAACGGTGGAATGATCATCATTATCAATCCAGTTATGAAATTTCTATTTCCATTCAATCATTCAATCTCCTCATGCATCATACACATTCACATATCAAACATGATCATTAATAATACACATTTGTACATTTGTAGTGTGTTTTTATTATTATTTTTAATGGCCATATATGTTATATTTATCAATAATGAATTGGCTCACGACAACAACAACAACAACACCAACAACATCATACACTACTATGAACTAGTTGAATCAAAGTTGTCCAAATGCCAATTGATCCAGTCTGAGATGCTCATGTTTCGAGTGTGTGTGTGTGGGTGTCATATATTTTGAATAATAATGTTCTCGCTTCACTTTATTCTTTAGTTAGCTAATTGAACCGAAACAACTATTAATACATTCCAATGTTGATGCATGATCAACATGATCATCACGAACCTTGAGTAGTCAAACAATTAACATGAATTATTCATATGTCCGCATTGATCATCTTCATATTGCTAGAGAAGAATAGAAGAATGGCTGTCTTTGCTCACTTGAATGGTCCGAAACCGAGAAACCATTGTCCACTAATTATCATTAATGGCTTAAATCATTCGTCTATACATGTAGACCGGTTTCAAATTGAATCAATAATTTACTCACATTTGAAGCAATCTGACCAAACATTTTTTCCATCAAAGTAATGGCCAGAGTGAAAAGACTCGAGTTATTCACACTTATCATTGTTTTTCTCTCAACAACTCAACAACGAAACAAATTCACAGAGCATTTTATTCATATTCAAACAACAAACTATGATGACTATGAATCGTGGACTAAAATGAACATTTTCAATGTCATCACGTATTACCATCAACATTATAGATGGAATGTTTCGCCCCACATTAGGTTAAGAAAAATGCAAAATGCAAAATGCCAGTGAATTTCAAGATTTTCTTACTCTTAATCATCATCATCATCATCATCATCATTATTATTTCGCCTATTGACGTCAGACTTGTTCTCTCTATCGCTCTCGCTCTCCTCATTGTAACATCCGTCTCAGGGTTCGGTCCAATGATTTTGGATGATTTTGGAAATTTATTAAAATTTCATCATCTACAACAAGTTTAATTTAAATGTAAATGTAAATGTAAATAATCATCTGACTGAGAGAAACGAGGGATATTAGAAAAACAAAAGTATTCATGTTCAATTTTTCAAACTTGGCCCCAAGCTGAATCTTCCATTTCAACGAAACGAATGATAAATTAAACTTGAAATTTCAAATTTCAAATTACAATCAAATTCAGATCAATCACTGCGCTGGTAAGCAATAGTCATCAATATAGGTGAATTGAAAATTGTTCCCATTCGTTTCTGTAATAATACATTCATTCATGTCTATTGGACTGACACTGTGATTGACATACATATTCTACAACAAACTCATGTCATGTATTCACAGATAATGAAACACACGCTCACACATAATCGGATTTGATATTATCTTGACAACAACAAATTCTGACGATTATAAAATTCTGTGGAAAAATTCATCAACAAACCGGAACAGTTTTCATATTCTATATACAACTTTCTTGTCATTTGTTGGGCATAAAAACAAATTTCAATTTCAATTTTAATTATTTTTTTTAAACACAAAATAATCCATCAGAAGTGAATGATTAAAACAGGATGGAAAATGCCAACTACATGGAATCGAATTCAATGTTGACATTTTGGATTTCAAATTTTGCCATGCTGAAAATAATTGGCAAAGCGATCCTTTTCTCATTCATTTATTCAACACCACCAATCGACATTCATTGCTCCATCTGTTCTTGATCTTGATCTTGATCTTGATCTTGATTTCGATTTAGATCTAGACATCGATCCCGGATTATAGAAAATCAAGTTCTTGACCAATTCGGTTTTGTTGACATTCAAATAAATGTCATGCATTGATTGATAATTCATTTCCGTTTTTTGTTGTTTTTCATGTTGCAGCTGCCTTTTGGGATCACCACTATAATGGGTCTCTCTGTTGTTACTAACAACAACAATATAAAAAGATAAAGATAAGGATAAGAATAAGAACAAGAACAATAATAACAAGTCATGAATTGAACAAGGTTGCAAAGTGATGGCAACATTTATACAAAATTTCTGCAATTCATTCAACCCATTTCAACTCAATCGAATCGACATTGAGTCATTTTTTCAACACACAAAATGAAAACATTGGAAACCAAACCAACTCCATATGACTCGACAAAATTCAAATTTAAAAGTTTTTTCTGTCTCAAACTTGACAAGATTCGATATCGATTGCTCCTTACAATCACAAACTCTCTTTGTAGTTGGTTGCAATTTTCATTTTTTTGTTTTTCCCATTTCGTCCTTAGTGGATTGGTGTATAAATAAAGTTTTTGTTGTTGTTGTTGTTGTTATATTTTGCATACATGAATTCTGTAATCGATATGACAAAAGACTTTTGTCTTGGAAAATATTTGCAAACATGCAACTTTTGGATATCGAAAGCATCATCAGTCTATATATATAATCACCATCATCATCATTTGATATTTGGATCGAATCGTACAATTTGCCTCATCATATCAAAATATAAATATAAATTCATGATTCATGATTGTCTCGGAAAAAAGATGAATCAATGACAAAAAATTCATCGCCATAATCAAAATATCTAAGCAGAGAAAAAATGTGCGATGAACAATTTGGATTTCAATTTTTCATTATTCATTATCATGCACACAGCGTTAATGATGTTTTCTCTCCTTATCCTTATCCTTATTATTATTGTTAC